TATGCCAGCCAAGTCTGTTCTTATGCACAGTTCACAGGAGAAGTGGGGGTGTTGGGCAAGACTGTTCCCAGCTGCTCAGCCATGGCTGGGAGCAGAACTTGGCTGCTTTGGCTAAAAACCAGCAATACAAGATACGTAAGAACAGAGGAAACACTGATAGTGTATCTCTGAATCAGGATTTTGTTGTGTTTGGGAAGGCTGAGAGTGAGGACTGTGCACAAATGCATTCTTCGATCTCATTCCTAAGAGTCCTCCTATGAAATTGCTTGTCCCAGGATTTGAAAGGGAAAGAAAGGTGAAATGGAGCAATGTAGCCGACTAGCTGTATCCATCTAAACACTCCTCAACTTTGTACAGCCCAGTCTCATCCCACTTTCCATGTTTGGTAGCGCAGAACCATCACTCTGCAGTGTGAATTTGCTCATTATTGGCACAACCTGTCCCTCTTGGTCTGGAGATAGTTTCTAGGTGCTTGATGACAAGGCTGCTTTGCAGGTGACATCTGATGCCTTGGGTCACTGAAGTACATGTTGAAGACTCCAGCATGGGCAGAGAGGGCTACTGGGCAAAGGTGTCCTGGCTACAGCTTTGTTTCAAGCTTAATGATAGAGGTTACTGAGACTGCTTATAGCAGAGACATTGGGAGTACAGACAAACTCCGAAAGCACTAGTTGGGAGCATAGAGCAGTGCATGCTGCTGAGCAGAAGACTTACAGAAACCAGTCCACAGCAATGATCAGTGTAATGTCTTCAGTAGGCAGCCCCACTGATGTCAACACTATAACCATGGTCACCAGTCCAGCCTGGGGAATACCTGCAGCTCCAATGCTGGCTGCCGTGGCAGTGATGCTGGAGGGAACAGAAAAGCACAGCTGTCAGCAGAGGGAAGAAAAGACCTAGTCACATTTGCAAAAATGTCAGGAAGTAGCTTAAACTCTTCATCTACGAAACATCTTGTCAGCCTTTCTACCCTGGTCACTGAGCAGGATGGTGACACATGGGGCATCATTAAAGCAGCCAGGCACCCATCCATAACAGACTGCACACTGCCACTTTAGCTAAGGGATGGCCCAGACCTGGAAACGCAATAAGGGTTCAAGTGGCGCCTCAAAGATGTGGTGCCAAAATATTATGTGCTTCTACAACTGGACGTGTAGTATACCCTTCTTTTCCATACTTCTTTTTTAAATTGTATCTTTTGAGCAAAAGAGGAACCCGACTACACCTCAGATAATCCAACAACACTGAAGCCCTTCCTCTAGTCCCATAACTCTTTCAAAAGTCACCTTATTGTGATGATCTGCCCGAAGTCAAGTTCATAGTTGTTGACTTGTGCAATGAAGATGGCTGCAAGGGCCTCATACAGAGCAGTACCATCCATGTTAATTGTAGCTCCCACAGGCAGAACAAACCTCGTGATGCGCCTATCCACACCATTGTTTTCTTCCAGGCACCTGAAGGTGATGGGCAGAGTTGCTGAGCTGAAAGGAATTTACAAAACAACATGAATGATTTTGGAAGAGGGACTAATCCTCTGCCTGGTTTATGACCCTACCCACCTGCTTTTTCACCCTGCCTTGTGAACCAGAGGCCAGAAGCTGCTAGGAGAAAGAACAGTCTAAGCAAGGCTTCCTCAGATATGGTGCATGCTGCAGTTGCACATTCAGAGGGGCTGGGACAGGGGCTGTGTAGCCCTGAGGCTGGTGATGCTGGTATAACACCAAAAGAAGGTAAAGCTGGAGGATTCAGGACCAACCCTCAAGATCAAAGCTCCTTTTCCAGCTATTAAAAAACTTGAGCCCTTTCTCACCCCCCTCAGTGCATAGGACAAGAATGACCCATGTGTGAGAATATGCCTTGCAGAGGAAGCAGGGAATTGTTTCTAAAAGAGAACATGAGCAGGAAAAATGCAGTGTGTTTCAGTGTGAGAAAGCATGGGGGAGAGACTGTTATGTGCTTGCCAGGAAATGAACACAGCAAGAAACACAGCATTTGGTAAAATAACAGCTACCTACAACCCCTTGCTTTGGCTGTGTTGCATGGCAGAGTGAGTCATTGAACATATGGGTGTTTATGCCTTTGCCCAGGCCTCCTGTGAGTTTAATGCCAGCTGCATAAGGTATGTGTGCCTGGGCGAGAGAAATAAGCACCTGTGTGCGAGTACATGTGTATGAGAGGTATGTTCCTGGGGAATAATGATGCAATTCAGTGGCATCTGATATTTGTCCTGAACTCAGCACTTCAGTGCTTCTAGCAGAGTCACCACCATGTTTGCTAAGGAGACATATGGGTCATGCACTGATAGTTAGAGATGGCCACTTGATTAGGGCTCCTCAGCAGGGCAGTGAGGAGCTTTCAACTCTCAAATGAGCTTGGCTGGACCAGTGCAAAAAGTTGCTATTGCTAGAAATTGTGAGACTGCAGTGCTGCACTGAGGGCAATGGAGTGCTGAGAAGCAGTCCCAGAGTATCCACAGCAGCCCCAACCCTACTCCCATGTAGCTATCATACCTTGATGAGGTGCCAAGGGCTGTGATGAGGGCCTGCAGAAGCCCTGCTATGAATACCCAGGGGTTTCTGTGAGTGACGATGAAGTAGAGCAGTGGCAGGATGCAGAGGGCATGAATGAGGAGTCCAACTATGACGGTGAGCGTGTACATCCCCAGCTGGCCTCCCATCACTGCTAGGTCATCCATCTCCAGGATTTTACCAGCAATTAAAAACATGATCCCAACTGGAGCATACCTGTGGCAGAAACACAAGACCGATGCTCAGAACTGGCACCCGCACTTCCACATCAGCTTTAATGCATGCTGTCTGGGCAAATTCCCAGTAAGCCAGCACACCAGTAATGCTCACTGAGCATAACCATTGGATGATACTGCTGGTTTCTTTTCCAGAAACCTGGAGAGAGCTTGGACTTGTTCACCATCTGGTCAAAACCAGCACTCGTTGCACTATCGGGGAACCCAGCACACTATTGTGTGCACAGCTTGGGCAGTGGTGGAGCTTTCCTCCTCCTTCTGGGTTCCCTCCCTTTTTCTGCAACACTCCTTGCAGAATTGATAGGGGAGATTATGTAGAGGAGTCTTCAGAGTCCCTTCCTTTCCTAACAGAGCTTGGACTAAGAGTATTATTTTTACTGGGAGGCACAGGGAAGTACAGGAGAAACGGGAAATAGGGGAGCAAAAGCAACAGTATCCTATAGGCTCCGGGATATCAGCCTTAATACCTTCAAATGTTCATATTTAGAGAATAGGAACATATAGGGAATGCATGTCTGATGTAGCAAGGGCTGGGAACACCAACACTTGTGAAAGCAGCCATGGCTTATATAAAAACCCATTCTGAGGTACATTGCCATCCTTTCCATTCCTTATGCTTTTTCCCCCCCTCCATAACTATGAATCTCATGAGCAGCAGTGAGGCTCCACAGAAAGGAAGCCATAACACAGACATGGAGAATATCATGGGTACTAAACTAAACATGGACAAATAGCTGGACCAAAGAAAATCCCAGCTCCATGGCCACACGTCTCAGGGCTTGGCCTCTACAGCTCAAGAGCTCACATGCAATTCATGCACAAGGCTCAGAGGTCCACATGCCGAACTCCAACTTAGTCTGGGAGGTTTGGAAAAGTTTCAGGAAAGGATTTCACAAGTATTTCATTTCCTCTGACCTTCCTCTTAGAAGACATTCTTGGCTGCAGGACCAGATGTCCCCAGGAAAAAGAAGCTCCTGGAGATGCTCTGCAGACTGTGGCTCAGGAAGGAGTGCTGTGCTGCAGCTGACAGTCCTGCCTCCTACACCAGCAGGATCTTATGTCAGGAGGTCTCTGCAGACACTACCTACTGTATGTGCACAGGCAGTTTCCTGAGTGTAACCGATGTGCTCTACACCAACATCCTGCCTTCCTTCACTATAAGGGCAAGCTGAAGGATGGGGTGTTGAAAGCACCTTGAAATTGTACCTGTGAGTAGTGTGCAGGACTACTTGTTGCACTGTGTTCATGCTCTTCCTTCTGTGACCTTGGGCAACTCATCTCTTGTTAGGAAAGCAAGGCCCCAAGTTCTGGCTCATTTGTGGAGGAAAAGATCCCAGAGGGACTGGGGGTCCCCAGTTCTCTGTTAGGAGCTCAGGGTTGTTCCGCCCCTTTGCGTCTTTCTGTGTAGGGCCTCTCCCCCTGTTCCACGGATGTTGCTCTGAGATAGAAGACAGTGACTAGAAGAACAGCGAATGGAAGCTGGAGTGATCTAAAATGGGAGAGGGTGTGGGGATGATCCCTGTCAGACATTTCCATGTATTCTGCCAGCTCCAGCATCAATCCTGTCTCACGGTACCTACCACAAACACTTATGTAGATCTTGAGCCCTAGATGGGTAAAGAGCTTAAAACAACAAGATTTGGAAAAATGCGACCTTCTAAAGAAGACTTGTCTCAGCAATGCCTTGCTTATCTGGACCATGTAGCGCACACAGCCTTATTCAGAAAGCAACAAGCAGGTGAGCTCTAGAGGAGTTGGGGTCTGGGAGACCTCAGATTGAAAGGCAATAACTTGGAGTTGACCTTGTCAACTCAGCTCAGCTCTCAGAGCTAATGCTCTCAGAGGTGCCACTCTGAGTAGCAGGAAAGTGGCAATAGGTTATCGTGACTTGTAGCTAAGTCAGATTCCTGGAACATAGCTGGAAGGTAAGGTTTTGGTGGGAAAGCCTCACACCCTACCCCTGTTGGTAAAGCTAAGAGATCTTCCATTCCAGCTCTCTGATCTTCCAAGGATGTTTCCAGCAGCCTCAAGGAAAGCAAGTCCTGGTGTACCTGATATTTCTAAGGTAAAAACAAAAAACAGGAAATGAAATGTGAACAAATTTTTTCTGATGGAGCCAAAAGAGAGCTGTGCCCATCTACTTTTCCTGTGCATGTCATCCTTAAAGCTACCCCACTTCTCATCAGGTCAGTGGAAACTGCACCTGCAGACCTCCTGCTCCAACCGGCCGTGCTCCTCACCAGATGATAATGGCCACCAGCCTCATGATGGCTTCGTTGAGGCAGTTAAAGAACTCCCGCAGGGCCCGTCCCTTCTGCTTCATGCTGCCGATCACCAAACCGAAGCACATGGAGAACACTACCAGCCCCAGTGCGTTCACCCCATTGGCTGAGCCCGGGATGGGAATGACTTCTTCAAAGGTCAGCACCTCGGAGACGGTCCCCAGGGCATGAGTGATGTTCTCCAGGATGCCGGTGAAGTTCTCAGGCACAGGGATCTGTGTGGTTGTCACACCTGCTGTGATATTGCTGCTGTGGAGGACGGTTCTGGTGAAGACCCTGGTGCTGTACTGCGTCTTGTACTGGAAAGACACAGATCATCAGATGCAGTCTCAGGCCCTGGTTCAGGAGCTCAAGATAACATGCTGGGCTCTTTCTAAAGAAAGGAGAGTACTGCAAGTTCACTGCTGACTCGTGTGGGAACCTTGCCTTCACTGCCCTCAAGCTTCCTAGCTTAGTAGTCTCATCAAAAATTTCATAGAGCTGAAGGTCAAAAGATACCATTGGAGCATCTTGTATCGCTAGGAACAAAATATTCTGGTTTCTCTGGTAACTCTTTATACTACTTCCGAGGGCATTAGCATTACAGAAAAACCAAATCCTTGTAGAATCTGCTCCAATTTCACTGCCAGTCCAAGCCTGCTACCAGAGATGACACAAACCATTCCTGACTCTGAATGTTGAATGAGATGGAGGTTGAAGCCCCCATTTACAGACAGTTTGAAAAGCGTGCGTGTGGGATGCTATAATACACTAATGATTACAATGCCTCCTGGAGCAGTCAGGCCTGTGGACTTATGAAGGCAGTATAAAGCAATTGCTATGCCATACCTCATAGTAGGTTGGACCATGGTCTAGGTAGGACAGAGGGTGCAAAGGGAAGTGATAGGCCAGGTGGGATTTCATACCTGTTTGAAGCAGGCTTCTACAAGGTTGGGCGGGAACATATTCCTGCAGTGGATAAAACAATTAAAGCGTTATTGTCCTGTTCGACTAGCAAGAAAACGTAGGCTTCCTGGCCAACACTTCTGTCCTGGATCAGTGTCTCCGGTCACAATCCTCACAATGCCAACTCAGGCTACAGGTTAGATGGACCCTTTCTGTCTGACTGACAGAATATGCTGATATATGGTGGTAATATGCTGATCTGGACACAGGCACCATCCTGCATATTTTTAGAGTCCCACTACATCTTTTCAGACTCTAGAAGGTTGTATTTCAGGTATGTGGAAAGAGACTACACGCATACAGCACTGGGGTATGGGTCCATTGTAGAAGCGTTATCAAACCCAACTGAACCTTGAAACAATACCATATTACAATATTTAATATAATGCCTTGCTCTCAGCTTCATCTCTACAGCTGTCATTTGAGCTGTCTGTTATCTTGTACCTTGGAAACATAGCTTCATACCACTTGAGATGGTACAGCTCTGCAATTCACTATGTAAGGTCACAGCAAGGAAGGGAGAGACAATGTCTCAGGAACCACTTCCTTGATTTCCATGTGCCAGTGAAGATGGATATTTGGAGTAGCTTTTGCTGGGTGAATTTCTGAAGGGCATGCAGTCATTGATAGTTTTCATTACTTGTTTTGCTGAGCACACCTTGGCCTCTTGCATTAATACCTCTAACAGAAGGGCTGGACTCCACAACTCCAGCCCAAGCATTCAGTCTCTGAGTGGCAGAGCCAGTTAGTTAAACTGAGCTACCAGTAGTAGGCTGGGCAAGACTCAGCCATAATTCTCTTTTCCCAAGAGTGTATACCTCAAACTGTGGCACTTCAAAAGGGCATTCCGTGGAGGAATGTAATCTCAGTGATATGAGACCATCTTGTTCACCTACCTCACCAAGTCCATGAATGCATCTGTGGTCTGCACCTGCTCAATTCTGCCTTCTCGGTGAAGTTTGTCCTTAGATCCTTTTCCTGGGTGGATGATGATCACCATTAGGATGCCAATGAAGACTGCTATGATTGTGGTCACCATGTAGTAGACGACAGCTCGCATCCCCATCTTCCCTGAGGCTCTGCCATCCAGCGAGGCCATTCCTGGGGGGTCACACAGGGAGACAACTGAGAAGGCATATTGTCTTAGGGGGAAGGGGGAAGCCCAAGGAAGATTTAAAGTGTGCGTGGCGTATGCATGAGTCAGATGGGGAGCTGGGGTCTCTAGGAAGGAGAGCATACAAGGGGCAGACTTTGGAGTTCCAAGGTGATATGGTTATGGGAGAATGTGGCTTGTGGTTATGAAGAAGCATAGCCCTGGTGGGTCTTAGGCTGCAATATAGCAATGTCCTTCTGAAGCTCTCAGAAGTGAAATAATTCCCTCCAAGTACATTGGGCCTTTAAGTCCCTGATGATGGGATGTTTCAGCAGGTAGAATACCTTGCAGTCCCTTCTGCTGCCTTCAGCTTGGTTGGCTGGCATGCCTTCTATGAGCAGCTGGAGGAAACAAGCTGGTGAACAACTCCAGCTCTTTTGGACTGACACATATTAAACTTCCCTAGGCTGGAGGAAACCTGAAGCTGACTTGGGCAACAAACTTGTTGACATTTGAAGTTATGTAGGATGAAATCTTTGTTAGTGCTCATGTTGGGCATTGGGAACACATTGTGTCCTCCCTAGTTTTCTGAGAAAGCACAACGCCTTCTGCTTCTCTTCCGCACTACGGAGCCAACAGGGGTATGAGTGTGAATCATGTTCACTACAGCGGTAGGTTCAGACTTGTCACTGTTAGTCAAGGTAATCCAAACCTTTTTGGAGCACAAAGAGGTACTCCAGCAACAGCTAGCATCCATCTTTGCTGATTATTGCCTTGTCTGAAAGCAGCAGAAAGCAATTCTCACCTGTAATCAAGCTAGAGACAATGAGAGGAAGAACCAACATCTGGAGCATACGCATCAGCAGCTCGCCGGGGAAGGAGAAATACTTGATCTGGCGATAAGTCAGCTGGTAGGGCCGGAGGGAGAATGCCAGGATGACTCCTGTGGATCAGCAAGGGATGAGAATGGCAATGGGACAGTGTGGTCTGTCCCTCAGCCCTACAGCATGGTTTTTCTCTTTCTCATCTCCTTCCAGCTCCTACCTTCCCCAAACAAGCAAATGCTCTTTCTTTTTCTAAAAGGCTATGATCTAGTTTGTACTGTATGCTTTCTCTCTCTTCTGACATATTTCTATGCACAGGAGTCTTGTGCTAAATCACAGCTCTCCTTGTTGCTCTGTCTGCTCCTCTGGGGTCTGTTCCCAGGAAGCTCATGAACACAAAAATGCTGTGACCAGAGATAGGATCTCCCAGCCTAACCTAAGTGTGACCACACAGCTCCAAGATTTGTCCACCCACTGTTTAAAGCTGGGTTCAGCCAGTGAGTTAGGAGACATATAACCTGGATGAAAAGCTAGGGACATTCCACTATCTGCTGGGCAGATTTCGTTTACATTGTACCACAGCCCTTTGCATCAGTTCCCCCTTCTGGTACTGTTAGGCTAAAGCTGTGGAATGAATCTGAAGAACCCTTGTGCCTGTAGCTACACTCATACAAGCTTCTGAACAAACCTGGATGATTTTTTATGAGGATTAGTAGAGCTGGATCATCAAATCCTTTCAGTTATAGACTGTTCCTAAGCTGCAGACAGAAAGGATCAACAAGGACTCCCTCACACATGCCCTCTACAAGGTCTGTTGTCCTTGCACACAAAGGTACTTCTGATTTGGGCAGCATTTTGAGCTGCAGCTCATTAACTTCACCTCCCCAGCCAAATCATTATGATAAATAAAAGCTGTGTGGAAACTTTTCCTCATATTTATAAATGGTGCCCAGTGTTGTCATCAGCTCCTTACCTAGTAAGACTGCAGCAATGGTGAAGAGGACAAAGGCATTTCTCTTGAAGAAGCTTTTAACGCTGGCGGCAGTGATGCTGTGCATCCGCTTCTTGGCCCGTGCCGCCCGCTTCTGCACTGCCTGCCGGAAGCGCTGAACCCGGCTCTCGGCACTGAGCCGCTTGGCTGCGTCCTCATTGAGGAACAGGCTGTTGACGTGGCTCTGCTCGCTCATGGTCAGCACGGCTGCTCAGACTCCAAGGCACGGCTCTGCCTACGCTGGGCAGGGAGAAGCACAGGAGGGAAAGCGTAAGCTGCAGCACCTGACATCTTGCCTTCATTTTTAGGTCACTTTCCTGAGTTGATTAAGGAGCTTCTCTGCCAGTCTGCAAGGAACAGACCCCGGGGAAAGGCATCTAAAGGGCTGCCAGGGCCATGTTACAACTCCGCTGGTGTCTCTGGAAAAACTCTGGCCTCTGTAGCACCCAATGTGCACTGAGGAGTGGCTTGTGGTGGTCTGGGCAGCCAGAAAGGGCTCCACAGCCACCCAGTCTTGCTTGTAGGAGTTTCATCTCTTTGGACAGGAGTCAATTTTGATCACCTGGCAATAAAACCAGTTCCTGTGCATAAACTGTTCCAAACAAGACCAAGCAGGAAACAGCATTTCTGACAGCCCTCCTAGATGGACAGGTACAAACAGCTTTTCCATCACAGTGAGGGGCACTGGCTGTTTATGCAGAAAGGAACATCCCCTTTGCCTTCTGTGGAGCCTGAGGATAATGCTTTACTGAATTTCCTTTGAAGCACAACAGGACTTTCAAGTAGTATCTCTTGTCAAACTTCACTGATGGGGTTAACCTGATGTCCTGTCTTTACAATACCAAGATCAAGACCAAACCTTTTCCAAAGAGGAAAATAAGGGACGAGTTCTGCTCAATTACCTATGGACTACAAGGCTTGGAGCAATCTACTGTTCTTTAAGTATTAGTTTTTTACTACTATTTCCCATATTCCTCCACAGGCATACCAGTCCACTCTAGGGTGAAAGCACCAGCAGTCCAACAGTTCTTATCATTAGGAGGATTATTGCCTGACTATGCAGGTGCCATTTTCCTACTGTCACTGTGCCTTGACAGATACAAGGTCTGAAAATGATTCTTGTTCCCATGAGTTTACAAAGAAAATACAAGACTAGATGAAGCCAAAGGAGTGCAAAGTCACCTTAGCAACGTAGCAGGTGTTGAAAGACCTTTCTTTGGTGTTGCAAGTCAAATAAGAGCTACTCCATTTTCAATCCTAAATTTAAGTAAAAGAAACCATCACAACTGGGATTCCATTCTCCATAAAATACACATTTATTGTCTGCCATTCGCACACAGATAAATGCCTATCATGAATTTAAGATATCACTTACAGAGGAGTTAGCTCATGGTACAACATTGCAAGGTCATTTCCAACAGACAGATGGAGAAAAATCTCCATTCGGATCAAAGATTTGTCTGCACAGATTCCAATGTCTTCATGAAGTTCAGAGCAGTGGAGAGACACCTGAGGTGGCCCAGCCAAGTCACTCTAATCCCTACCAAGGCTAGTATGTATGAAAGCCACTGGCAAAGATTCTGGGCTTTTGCTGCAGGAACCTTGCAGTGCTGCTGAGGTCACCCAAGCTTTTGCATTAGCAAAGAGCATTCTGTGGACTTTGGTCCACTGGTTCCAGCTTGATCACATATTCACTTTTTGTTATTACACCACCCTGATTTTTTCTGTTGATGGAGTCAATATACATCACACTTGATGAAAAATTTGCTTTTCCTCCTCCTCTTCACTCCCATTCCTCCTACTTTTCACAGCTATGCATGAGAGAAAGAAACTGCAAAGTACATATTCCTTCAGTTCATTGAGTCTGTGCCACCTGAACTCCACAGTAGGTTAAGAAACTATAAATTCAATCCCCTGTGCTCCAGAATAGACCTGTGGTATTTATTTAGTAGCCTCCCAGATATAGGGTTGGACAAATAAAATCATTAACTGTCTGGTTCCAGTGAGCTAGGAGTTTCACATATCTTGTATTCTCTCTTGCCAGTTACTGGCATCCTTGGCCCTAAAAGGAAAAGGACACCTCTAAGATGTCACCCTTTGACATCACAGACTAACTGAATAATCCCTTTGTGATCCATTCTATCTTCTTTTGTCTGCAGGATTTCCAGAAGTCTGTCCCAGAGCTTACTGCCCTTATGGTGAGAAAAGTAATTGTCTGCACTGTCAGCAGCTGGAGGTTTGGAACACAACAGTCTCTTTCAGTTGGAAGGGACCTACCACGATCATCTAGTCCAACAGCCTGACCAACTCAGGGCTGACCAAGTTAAAGCAGATTACTGAGAGCATTGTTCAAATGCCTCGTAAAATCTGACAGGCATGGGGCATCGACCACCTCTCCAGCAAGCCTGTTCCAGTGTCTGATGGACCTCTCAGTAAATAAATGCCTCCTAATGTCCAGTCTGGACCTCCCTGGTGCAGCTTTGAGCCATCACCATGCGTCCTATCACTGGACCCCAGGGAGAAGGGATCAGCCCCTCCCTCTCCACATCCTCTCCTCAGGAAGCTGCAGAGGGCAATGAGGTCACCCCTCAACCTCCTTTTCTTCAAACGAGGCAAGCCCAGAGTGCTCAGACACTTCTCAGAGGCCATGAATTCCAACCCTGTCACCATCTGAGTTGCCCTCTTCCAGCTGCATCTGAGGATGTTCACATCCTT